CCTTTGCATGCTAACCTATGCTTTAGTCCATTTGGGGTGGATAGATTGTCACGTTTACTTCTCATTATGCTTTATACATGCTACATGTTCAATCATAAAATTTTCTCAATTTAATGCTTAATTTAGAAAATGCTAAGGAAGCATCATCCATCCATTGGATTGAGAAATTTAATTATTGAGTACAATGTTATGTGAAGTTTTTCTAAATTTTGAAATATTTTTGGACTCTTGCCATCCCCTACAAGCATGTTCATCTATCATCTTACGTTGAATCAATGAATCTAGGAATTTCATTTGACCTAGGGAAGCTAGTGCAGTGACTATGAATGATGTGAGTCAATATGACATAATAACCATTAGATATGTTTGATTACTGTACTATGATTCGTTGTAAGACAATGGAAAATTTACCGATTAGATGAAGGCTACTTAGATCATATTCACTCGAAGGTCTCCAATCAATTTATTACTCAAAACCAAAATATGCAACCTAGACTATGCGAAGATACCAAAATTGGCGAGAATAAGGAAAACTAAATCGTGTGGAACTAAAGCAAAGTTAAAGGCGACCATTCATATTATCTATCCTCTAGGTTTTATGGATTTCTGAGCCATGTGAATTCATTGATTATGCAATCCAATTTCATCGAGCTATATGTCTAACGATGGTTAGATCTAACAGAATACGATGGTCCTACATATATCTCTCTTGACCAACCGAGGTAGCTCAATTGATTATTGATCGTCTGTTATGAGAAGGCCGTTTCCAGTATCATATGAATCATAAAACATATTAATTTGTCTACATGTGAGAAGATATATTCGATTATATAGGAAATTGAATTGATACGAAAACAAGAAGAAAACATATATCAATCCATAAATAACCCATCATTTAATAAACAATTCCATCCATCATCCCTAGGGTTCTACATAATCAAATTGTCAAGTCATCAAACGACGGGTCTTCATCAAAATGGCGTCGATTTTGGCTGTCCTAAGTTAATATGCCACTCGGTCCGCCACTTTCACAACTTCTGATTTTCAACTTGAATTGTTAAATGATTTGGTCCCAAACTCCGAATTAGGCCTCGTTTGATCCCATACGCACAGTATGCTCTTGATGATTTGGAATCTTGTTGATTAGCCCAAATTTTTTAAAGTTTTAGGGTTCCAAATATATCTTTTCCTATGCATCTACCTAAGGGTGTACATGGGTCGAGTGGTTCGGGTTTAACCATTTTAATCACCCGATCCATGCACTACGGTTTGGGAATTATCAAACTCAAACCCACCCAAAAAATTTTAAACCCTACGGTTTGTTTCTAATTGGGTAGGGTCGTGTTGGCGATATTTTTAAGTAAAAATCCAACCCAACATAAAATATATAATTATTATACATCTTAAAAAATATTTTAGAACTAATTAAAATTTTAAACGAATAAACCGAGGTGAAAGGTATCAAAATTCACAAATGTTGTTTGAATTTTAATAAAATGTGATTTACTTCAACATATGTCTAGTTTTTTTCACGATATTTGTTGAAATAGGCTAAAAAGGTTATAAACAAACGCATCCATAATATGTTATTCTATTAAAATTGTACACAAGAAAAAGGATTACGTGAATCATAACTATATTCAATTTATGTCTAAACTTTAAGTCAAAGAATACATTAGATTAGGGAGACCATGATAGAAAAACATGGCAAAATATCTTAATTTTCTCATAAGTATTGCTATATAAGACATAAATATTTTTTAGATCCGAACTCATACTAATAGTTGGAACACGGGTTGGGTCGGGTTCTACGGGTTGTGTAATCCAAAATCCAAACCCAACCCAAAATAGGCGGGTTGTACAAAAGAAAACCCTCACCCAACCCAAAACCTTCGTTTTAGCGATAAATACGGGTGGGTTGGGTCGGGTTGGACGGGTGGGTCGGTTTGCCGGTGTGTTTGTTCACCCCTACATCTACCTTTTCATTGTACTTTGAATTGTTAAATGATCGGGATAATATGTGTTATAGGGAGTAGTGTAGCATTACGAGGATTAACAATGTATAAGGGGTTTTACTTCTATTCTTGTTGGAGTAGTGTGCTAAAGTTTGAAATAATCTTTTGAAAAATGTTGTTTTCATGTGAGAGGCAACTGGGCATAATGTTTGAGTTACGCCGTCAACGAGGTTTTTTCTCGGCCAGGATTGCAATTTGGGGATGTATATGAAGACCCCATTCTCCTCACATATTTGTATGAGAGGAGATAGTATGCCTCTATGCAAGTCAAAGAGACCCCAACTCTCGTTTGTACCCACATGCGTGGCAGCTGCTCTGTTGTGTAAATGAGAGCGGAAACTGGAATTTGGTGCTTCAGAGAGGGGACTAACGTCCAATGCTTCGCCTCTTACTATTCCACCCTCTCAACCATCAGTTTCCCCACATGAGGCTAATATAAAGAAGGCAATGTCCTTTTTGTTCTTAGCCACGAGGGAGAGAAGCCTAATTTGAAAAAATGAAAAAATGTGGTGCCATTTTTGGCATTGTTAAAAAGAGGCTCAAAAGTTTACTCCTACTTTGAAAAAAATAAAAAATAAAGAAAACCACCAATGAGTCCATTGCTTTTCAATTGTTTTCGTGAGAGTCCACCGATACACCCATTAAATGTCTAAACCTCTTTAGTCAACATGGTCCTCATCCAAGAGTTTGTGTTATCACATAGAGATGGAAGTAACGCTTACTCGACCCTGACTATGCTCGAAAGTGAAACCGAAGAAATATAGAGCATACCATTTTGATTGTTTACCAAGTTGTATTGATTTGAGTAGGGTTGCTTGGGACAAGCGAACGCCTTACTTTGGGGGAGTGAATAACACCCAAAATGGTGTTATGTAGCATCTATATTTTAGATCTTTTTAGGTCACTTCTTGTTGTCAATGGTTAATATGTCATCAAATGCTTCATGAATCCATTCCTCGAAGTCATTTATGTCATTTTAGGGTGTATTACATGATACTTGCATTTTAGGCAGAAATGGGGTCACAAGTGTAGGAAAAGGAGCAGAACAAGGAGATCACGGCTAGGAAAAAGAACATAACAAGGTTCTAGATAATCATCAAAATGCATAGTATGCTCCAAATGATCTGAACGCAAGGTCTAGATAGTATGCTTCTGTAGCATACGAGCATACTATGATACTATAAATCTACGGTACAACATACACTTAGTAAGAAAACACTATCTGGACCTCAAATTAAATGAACTTTATGGCCGTGATACTATAACCTAACCCTTGATGAATGAACCCTAGGTCTTAATTATCTAAATTATAGAATCTAAACCTTATAATTGTGCATGCAATTTGTTGTATATATTTCGACGAACCATGACTGTCGATTGTTATATCTAATAAATAGAATTAAACCCCAAAATTTCATCTTTAAGGGTTAAGGTATAGTACAATGTCCCAAATCCCAATCAATTCAAGGTCTAGTTATCATTTTCTTACCCAAGGTATGCTATGCATTCGAATTTACTCTAGGGTACAGCATACCTTAAGTAAAAAAACGCTATCTAGACATCTAATCAATCAAATTTTGGGCATGATACTATACCCTAACCCTTTATGAGTGAACTCTAGGTCTTAGTTTTCTGAATCATAGAGCCTAACCCCTAAGATTGTGCATGTAATTTGTTGCCTATTTTTTGACGAATCATAACTGTCAATTTTATTTCTAATTAAATTGATCTTAGTGTATGAGATTTATAGAATTAAGACCAATATTTTAATCTTTAAGGGTTTTGGAATAATACCAGATTTCAAACTCTGATCAATTCGAGGTCTAGATATCGTTTTCTTACTTAGGGTATATCGTACCCTTGGTTTTCCCAAGGTACGATAGAACCACCCATATATATATATATATATATAGGGTGCCTTCTACGGTACCCCGGGTGAAATCCGGGGTACCGCATACCATGACTATGAAAACGCTATCTAGAACTCGAATTAGCAGGATTTTTGGGCATGATACTAAACCCTAACCCTTAATGAGTGAATCCTAGGTCCTAATTATCTAAATCTAAACTATAAACCCTAAGATGGTGCATTGATTTTTTTTTGCCTATATTTGGACGAATCATAACCGTCGATTATTGTTTCTAATTAAATTGATCTTGGGGAATAAGATTTAGAGAATTAAGACCGAGATTTTGATCTTTAAGGGTTAGATTATAGTATCCTGTCCGAAAGATTAGTCAATTCAGGTTCTGGATATCGTTTTCCTACTCAAGGTATGCGGTACCCCGGATTTTACCCTGGGTACCGTAGAACTCCCCATATATATAGATATATATATACCAGTCATTACCACATATATGGTGCCTTCTAGGGTACCCCGGGTGAAATCAGGGGTACCGAATACCTTGAGTATGAAAATGCTATTTAGACCTCGAATTATCAGGATTTTTGGGCATGATACCATACCCTAACCCTTAATGAGTGAATCCTAGGTCCTAATTATCTAAATCATAAACTACAAACCCTAACATGGTGCATTCATTTTTTGCCTATATTTGGACGAATCATAATCTCCGATTATTGTTTCTAATTAAATCGATCTTGGGGTATAAGATTGAGAGAATTAAGACCTAGATTTTAATCTTTAAGGGTTAAAGTATAGTATCATGTCTGAAAGATCAGTCAATTCAAGGTATGGATAGTGTTTTCATACTCAAGGTATTTGGTACCCCGAATTTCACTCTAGGTACGCTAACCTTTGCCATATATATATATGGTGCGTTCTACGGTACCCCGGGTGAAATCCGGGGTACTGCATATTGAGTATGAAAACACTATAAAGTAGGGTGCAAAGCCCTTTCTCTATATTTTCTAGAGCTGTTTTCTATTTTTTTTAAACTTGGGGATGAGGGGGAGGAGATTGTAGCATGTAGGAAAGATATGTTTGTTATGTTGACTTATGTTAGTGGAAAAAATAATTGTAAGTTGATTAGTATTTTTAGTTTGAATTCTATTTTTTTTCTTCATAGTGTATATACATTAAGAACTTTATAGCCGTATATGATTTATAATGATTTAATATTCGAAAAATAGAATGAGATAAGTTTGAGATATTGAATGTGAAAATGAAACACAAGAACTTCATAAACATTGATCATTCCAAACCATATCATACCATTTTGTAATCATTTTTCAAATCTTCACAATATGATGGCAAGAAATATAAATATTTTTATTAAATTAGGAATGAAAATCAATTTGCCGAAGTTGCTCCACCCTGCACTGCCACATGCCTAGAGTTGGCTCCCCACTCAATTGCCTCTGCCACCGCCCTTTGTCGCTCTTGTGGATTCGCCACCTCCATTATCGCCTGTCGAAGCTCACCACTATTGTTGTTCTGTTCTTGCACTGAAGAATCCAAAGAACCCACCATTTTCACTGAATTCCCCATTTCTGGCACAGCCCCCAAAAAGCTGAGAGCACTCACCACATCGCTCATCAATGGCCGAACCCCAGCTTCCTCTTGAAGACACATAGCCGATACAGCCACCGCTTGATTCAACCCTCTAATCGGGAACTCACCATTTAAGAGAGGATCTGCAAGTTCCTTGATCCTACTTGGATCCTTAAACACTGGTTGTGCCTATTGGAAAGAAAACCATAATCTCTATGAGTCAATTAAAATGAATTAAAATATACAAATTAGCCCCTAATTCTTTTGCAAATGTAGTATCAAATACAAAAGTTTTTCATAAGACTTTTTTTCATGAGACTTTGAAGCTAAATAACATAAGAAAATCCAATTAATTGTTGCATTACCCAAGTGACTAAGTTTTGCTCGTTAGAAGGCCGGTTGGTATCAATTACTCTCCTTCCAGTGATCAACTCCAACAATACGACGCCAAAGCTATATACGTCAGATTTTATAGTCAATTGCCCAGTTCTTTGATACTCAGGTGCACAGTATCCGTAAGTTCCCATTACCCTAGACGAGACATGGGTCTTATCTCCTGTGGGTCCAAGCTTGGCGAGCCCAAAATCAGAGAGTTTGGCAGTGAATTCGCTATCAAGGAGGATGTTTGATGATTTCAAGTCTCGATATATCACCGGTGGATTGGCCTTATCATGCAAATACTCCAACCCTTTTGCTGCACCCAATGCTATCTTCATCCTCGTAAACCAATCTAATGGCTTTCTCCCTCGTGGAAGATCTAGAAAAAGGAAAAAAGGTAAAAAAGAGATTTTAATTCATATGATAGAAACCAATAGATGATCAAGTTCACAATTTAAGCTCTTTTATATTTCCCAATTTTATGAAATGAATTAAAAATCATTAGGATCAAGTTAACAAGGATGGTTGTGTGTATACAAAGATTCCATTTTTTTACCTAGAAGGTGGTCTTCGACAGAACCTTTGGACATATACTCGTAAACGAGGAGCCTCTGGTCTCCATCAGCACAATATCCAATAAGATTTACTAGATTGTGATGATGTAATAGGCTCAACATCAACACTTCAACGAGAAACTCTCTGTTTCCTTGTAGACCATTCCGATCAAGTTGCTTTACAGCCACAATCTAAAGGAGAGGAAGTCATAAGTATATATTTAGTCTAGACTTTAAATCCTCTTAAATTCACCAACTCTACATACATTAATTACATTGTAATTCTTACTTGGTTAGTCTTGTCAAGTCGTCCCTTGTAAACCCTACCGAACCCGCCTTCTCCAATCAGACATTCTTGTCTGAAATTCTTGGTGGCGGTGGCGAGTTCTCGAAATGTGAAGGTCTCAGCCGCGATGTTGTTGGGGGAGGATGAATTTTCTTTGCTGGTCACATTGTGGTTGTCCTTCCTTGTTGTCGATATTGTTGTTTCCTTATGGATAATGTGGTTATTTTTTCCTTGAGATTTCAAATTCTCTGCATAACCTCAAGAACAAATTTGTCAAAAAGCAAAAATGAAATAATAAAAATTCTTTTTTTATGAAAATATAAAAAATATGATGGAAAAAGGGATTTAGTTTACCAGCATGGAGAGACCGAGGTTGTTGGGCAACTTGATTCTCCCTTATGAGAGGGACGGGAGATGAGTTTCCTGATGTTCTTGCACTATTTGCTCTCCTTGATGCCTTCTTTTCTTGAGATGAAAAGCACGAAAAGCAACTCATGTTCAATCAAGGAGTTCCCTCCCACAACTTTAGATATTTTTAAATGAACTAATCAAATGCTCACTTTTATAATTCTCGTTACTTTTCCCTGCCTTTCCCTTTTCTTTCCACTCGTTGATTTGAAGTATTGATATGGCAAGATTTTTAATGGATAAAGTAAAAAATTATTTCTTGCCTCAAACCTAATAACTACAAACGACAGAAGAAAAGATATGGATAAAGATTGACGAAAACAAAGACAAAAACCAAACAACAATACAACAAACAAAGATGAACAGAGGGAAATGATCACAAAACAAAAAACAAAGTGGAGCTTCTTTCTCTTTTTTCTTCTCCCTCTTGCTTCAATTTTTTTAGGTGAAGATGGAACAGAAATTGGATGGAGAAGGCAAATGAGGGGGAGTTTCTGGCAAAGGGAGGGAGGCAGGGGAAGGAAGGAAGTCCAAAAACAATTTCCTGCCTCGCTTAAAGGGAAGTTATGATCATTAGTTACAGAAATAGGCAAATTTTGACTGTGATAGGTGATAAGAATAGAAAAAGGAGAAACAAAAAGGTTTTTGGATGTGTTGCGTTTGTAACTTGTTTTCATCCATTGTTGGTGGCTGCTATTGAAAGACACTTTTTCTTAATGTATGCGAAGTCAAATCATAGTTTTTTGTGTCATTTTTTTTATTTTCTTTTTATATGGTGCAAACAAGTGAAATATCTTGATAATAGAAAAGCACCATATAAAAGTAAACCCGGAATAAGATGATGGATCTAAACCAATTGACTTGTTTGGATTATATTCATTGGTTGAACAGTAAATGTAAGATAATAATTTGGATAATGTCAAAGAGCCTAAAGTAGATATGAAATTTTGGGAGCACACTATTAACCATATGGAATAGCCAAACCTGAGTTTGCAACTATGCATGGTAACATGTATTGGTGATAATGTCCCTTCGACCCAATATTTTTATGTATTAAGTGAGGAGCTACTACTATTTACTATGTATGTAGCCTTTGATCGATGTTATATTGAGTAATGTTGACAGAGTACTACCTAGACGACTACATGGGGAGAATTCATATGGAAAAATTGATTCCACACTTAGGCACAAATATTTGTTGAACAAAAGTGTGTGACCAACATGCTCAATGAGGATACTGCATGGACTATACAGCCAAGGTGTTAGAAGTGCTTTTCATAAATGTCCTAAAATTTCAGGACCCTAAATTTGAGGTTAGTTGAATGACCCATGCATGCTTAGTTACATACTTTCGTTTATGCTGGTTGGCCCTAAAATGGATGCATAGTAAGGTAGTATTGGGCATCAAATTAAGTGTTCGAGGGATTCAGCTAGTGCAACACACGATTTCCCCCTCCTCTTGCAAGGTGGGAGCAATATATCCAGATGCTTTGATGGACTATTTCATGAAATGCAAAAAAATGCACAAATGATTTGATAAAGTCAATATCAATTAAATTCGAGTTTAGATAGGCTACTTTCGATTAAGAAATGTGCTAAATTAAACTACTGCTATCTAGCTAAAACATTTGACCTCAAAAGTTTATGGAGTACATGCCATATTCATTGATAATTGCTTCGATCGAGCTTTAAATTTATAAAGTCGAATCACACGCACTAGTCAAACCTAACAAGACCAAGTACAACCAAGCTAGAGATGTAGTAAAGCGGCTCTGTCGTATTCCAAGGGTCACAATATCCTAGACTACTTAGACTCGATCATTATCTAGTCAACTTATTACTTAGCAAGTGGGCAGTTGGCAATTCCTAAACTAAAGATCCATAGATGAGAAGAGGTACTAGAGGTAACTCATTAGTCCTAACATAGGTCTATCATGCAAACATCTAAATATGTCAGGTTAAGTGAATGTGGTGAGTGAGCTCTTTTCCGTGGGCCTTCGTGATTATCCACACGCCTCCCCTAAACCCATGTAAGTCACCTCAATCTAGGCTATCGTATATGGGACTTTAAGAACATAGATCCTTCCAATGGGTACTACCCACTGTCCACACCGAGGTTTCATCCCGGGTTCCATCTAGGAAGGCATTATTATGGAAGGGGTACGGTCGCCTCGTCCGCCACAAGATCCTATTCATTCATCTAACCTAATATGCCAAATGACGCATACTCGTCTAACCCTAAAACTCCATACCTAGTGTAGAAGCTCATGTAGGCTAGTAGAGAAGATTAGGGAGACTTATCCAAGAACAATTAAATCTAGAGAAGCATTAAAATAAACTAGATAAACACATTCATACAAAATCTTAACATATTCATTCATCTACATAATAACCCTAAAACTAGGGTTTGACGATTTAAACCTCTAGTACCTTGGGAGATCACCTCATAAAGGGGGGGGGGGAGACATACAAAAAGGGGAAGAAATCATGAAGAAATGGGTCTTCAAGTGATGGAACTCCTCGTCTAAAGATCTCCTCCACTTCCTTTCCTCTAATCTCTCTCTAAAATAAAAAATCTGCCAAACGCCCTCTCCTAAAGGGGGAGGAGTCCCCTATATATAGAATTCTGTAGACACAGACAACTTCACTGGAGAGGGGCTGAAGATCGCGCCCACGATCTAGAGGCTATGATCTTAAAGGCAAGTTCGCAAGCAAGGTGCAGAAGATCGCGGCTGGGATCTTTAAGGGTCACCATTTTCGCCTTGCTAAATATGGAGTTTGCGGCCTAACATCCTGATCGCGACCCAGGGTGTCACGACCGCGATCCTTATCTTCGGGATGGAACCCTTGGACAGTAAAATGATGGCCGAAATTTTCTGCTTCTCCCGAGTTGGCTTATTCTGAAGTTCCACCCATGGCTCCAAAGTTCGTGGCCGTAAACTTGAGCCTGCGATCTTTGCTGTCATTCATTCTCCACGAAACAAGAAACACATGACTCTTCTATGGGTTCTATGTTGATGAACAACGACGTGGGGGGAGGTAACGCACCTATTGTACCCCGACGATGCTATAATATCTGCGATTTTACTAAGGAAGAAGTTCATACGATCTTTCCATCCCTTTTTTGCTTCCAAAGCTATACAAGTCTTAAGGTAATCTTGATAAAAGCAGGTGGTATCCGATTGGTGCGGTTAGGAACTAGGATAGGTTTGCTAATGTATTTAATTGGTTGCGAATGGGAATCTTGCCGACAGTGTACCTTAGACTTGGGATGGGTGCCTCACCTTCATCTTCTTCGATTAGGAATACTAGCGTTAGAAAATTGCAAAAAAAATTAGAAGGCAGTTATCACAATCATAGAAAGGACTCAATGCCATATTGCCATTTCTTTTGGTTTGGCAAATAAGAGTTTTAATAACTGTATCTTGTTTCTTTGGATCAATGCAAAGCGCCAAATGATATGGTGGACTAGGTATACTTGATCTTCTGTGTTGAAACCTTGTTCTCCTATGCAAGTGGTGGTGTAATTATTCTATTAAGGGGGATGGTTGGTGGAAGCAGCTGCTATAAATCAAACTACCAAGCGAATATCCTGAATGGATGATAGGTGATTTTCATGGTGATGCAGGGTGTATTCTGTCGATGATGGAAGTTGGAGGAAATTGGAATAATTTATGATATATGGCAGCATCTTCTTTTTTCCGAAATAGTCGAATATTAGACAACTATCGCATCATAAATGAGAGTTATCTTGGAAATTCCATTGAAAAATAATTTTCAGGGTGGGTCTAAGAGAGAGAGAGAGATTGATCAATTCTCTTGATTGCACTTCACTGTTGTACTCTTTTTAGGTTCGAGCATAGTTGTTTGGCAACCTTTCCCTTTTTCGGGTTCACTACAAACTCTTTATACAAAATCCTCTTGATGGAAAAACATACAAAGAGGGAAGATTTTCTAAGTGGTGTGGCATCGGATTGTACCAATCACGATTTTATCTTCCTTAGGGCAGTATTTGGAAGAGAATCCTCACAAACGATTATATGAAAAGAAGAGGATGGAAACTTCCAAGTACAAGTGTTTTGTGTATGGCTATTGACTAGCAAGGAAGGATTAGACGACTTGTTTCTTTCTTTCTTTCTTTCAGGTTTGATAGGAAGTGTGGAGAACTATTAGAATATTTGTGAAGATTCAAACCAACTTCACGGAGGACATATAAGCAACAATTAGGAATTGGCCTCAACAAGAACCAACAAATCCTTCACAATGGTGCACCAATATTTTACTTCATCCAATATGTTGGAGTTTGTTGAACGGGTGAAACTCTAGAGTCTTCAAAGACAAAGCCTCAACACCACAACTTGTATGATTAAGAATCATATGGTCAGTTGCAAGTTGAATCGTGCTATAGTTGTGGTTGGACAAATTCCTTGAAAGCTCAGCTGCTCCCCATCTTGATATGAGCACAGAACCGGTACCCATAGTTATCAAAGTCACGCAGCTAAGAACATGAATAAAAACTAGGGATAAGGCGGATTTGAAGTGAAATCTCACACTTGGGAGAAAGCTCTATCAATATAACGATATAATATCTACCACAATCAAGGGAGAAACTCGATTGATACAGAGAAAAATTCACAAGCCTAAAGCTCTATGACCCAAAATAAACTCAATATTATTCAATATGTGCCACAAAACTCGAGTTTAAGCCTTTATATAGGCTAGGGAAACACAAACTAAACAAAACCCAAAAAGGAAAAGAATCCTAGACATAAAAGGTAAATTCACTCGTGAACCTCGATCCCCGGTCTTAGATCCCTCATAACACCTGAATTGATGTTATTTAGTCCTCATATAAAGGTTCTTTTCGGGTCATTTCATGTGCATATTGAAAGATACATCGTCAATTACACCTTTATTTTGTTCCCCAAAGAATATATCATTATATTAGGCTCGATTAGACGATATGTGCGAATTAGGTACCCAAAGGACACAAGTGTAGCAAGAATGGGGCAAAAGCTAAAGATGCCAGTCTTGACAAGGAAAATCTCGATGGAGAAAGGAGCACGTGAAGTAAGAGATGAGATCGCAACCCGCGGAGCAAAGATCACGGCCGCGATGTTGGAGGCTTCAGTCATGAACTTTAGGAAGAGCCAACCCAAGAGAACTAGAGAATTTTGCGAGTCGAATCGCAGACCTCGCCTTTCCAGCCTGCGAGCAAGATCCCGGCCGCGACTCGCGAATCATGACCGTGAAGTCAGCTTGCGATCTTCCCTTGGACGAAGAGCAAAACTGCAACGCTTGAAAATCGCAGCCTCCCTGCTCAAGTTCTTGCCCGAGAAATTTCCCAGCACTGTCGCGAACTTGTCCGAGACCTGAAACTCTATAAATAAGGGTTGCCTTCTGATAGACCGTTATTTACACATGTTTTTACCCCTGCTCTTACTCCGTTTGAGGTATTGATTCTCGTGTTTTAGGCCGATTTCACGCTAGGTTGTGCTTGTTTATGATATTTCAGGTCCTAGTACGTGAATGGAGGCTTGGGAGCGAGTTTGAGGTCGATTGGACAAGGATCGGAC